AACCAGCAATACTAGATGGAATATTACACAAATAATAGGCTTGTAAACCCTGGCAGTCTCTTGAGAATTGCAGCCAAGAACCACACATTGTGCTGTACAGTACTGCTTCAATACGTGATCACATACAACACGTATTTACAAAGCTATATTTAGTATGTAATGTTCTTTTAACACATTCATTTTTTTTCTTTGTTATTTTCTTTACAAGAGCATAGCTGACAAGCAGATTAGTAGCTGAGCCCTCCAGATTCTCATCTTTGTTGATTTCTGCACTGTGCTAGAGTGCAAGGCTCTTTTCCATTAGAGACGTGCACAGTTAGAAGGAAGTCATACAGTATTTAAGTGATACACAGGCTCTGCAGCAAGATGAATTTATCCTCCTGTACTGAATTCAACTGTGGAAATCAACTGTGGAGTCTCTGCATCAAACCAAATCTGGCCAACTAATACAAAACCTCTCTCTAATCTGTGTACGTACTAGGAGGAGTTATTTTCAAATTGACCTTAATAATTCAAGAGGAGTCAACAATCTGATTATTTTCAAAACCTTGGGTTCAAACCCCATAAAATAATTTATATCTTATTTAAATGTATCGAATGATGATGATAAACAACCCTGCTTATCACCAACTTTAGGATTCTATGCAACACAAGGTAAATGTGCTTAAATATGATGGTTGTCCTGATCTGGCAAACACCTACCTATGATGGCAAAAGAAAGTGATAGAAAGGTCTGCAGGATGGGATCTTTGCTCTTATTAATTACCGCTATATTTTAATGGGTATCCTTTGTGTAACTCTTTGAAAATAGAGAACAGATTCCACAAATCATGGAGATTCATATGAAACCTTCATATACAATAACCTCACAGAGGAAACACTGATATTAAATACATTTTAAGAAGTTAGGAAACAAAGATTTTACATGCACAGGTCATGATAGAAATATTACAAAATATAAAGTAATCAGTATAGGGCAGTGGCACTTCTTTAAAATGGAGTCCTACAAATGTGTCCAACAGCAATAATATATGTAATATATGAGAGATACATAAACCTGAAAGAAGCTACTACTGAATTAAGAAAAAATAATGTTTTCCAATGATAATCTGACTTCTAGGGATAGATTTTTATATTCCCTTCAAAAGCCAGTCAAATATAAAACTCTTATAGCACAAAATGGTCATTCATAGTTTCTTTCTATAGACACTCACCTGTGGGAGGGAAATTTCTCTTTCAGAACAGAAATAATTAAGTTTTCCACAAAATGATCAGTCTCGGTCACGAGGTCTGCTGCAGATGTCTTTGTAGACACTTGTTTTTCCTCTGTTAGAGCTTTCCTAATAATCTGAAAGAGAATTTCACAAATCAGATTTGGTTTCCATTCACGCTGTGAACATTAAAATACTCTATTTACTAACAACATTATAGCTAATCCTGGAAAAACAGTAGTGGGTCTAATTTTACCAGGACCTATTCTAGCTCTTCTGAGTAAAAGTCTTTCTGAGATAAGGAATGTTCTCTTTGGGAACATGGCATTTGGAATCACTCTGCAGGAACCTCTCTTGACAGTTCAGGAAGGGATTAAGAATGGGACACAACTGATGGAATAGAAGTGTGATAGTAGACATTGTGATTTAGGAAATTAAAGAAAATACATGTAAGATATGACAGAAACTCGAGGCCCATAATTTCTCTCACAAAAAAAAAAAACAAAAAAAAAACCCCACTTTTTTCCATTAAAAAAAAAAAAAGTATTTACAGGGCCAATACCCCACAGCTCCTTTACTTCAAAATACAATAAAGCAAACCTCATTGGTTTCTCTTTGCCAACAAAGACACAATATTTATTTTTTCTTGTGTATATGGGTGTTTGGAACTTCAAGTGTGGACCACCCACTAGTCTCAAAGAATTGCTTTATGTTTAACAAAAACAAAGATTTAGGTTTTTCCCCAGATATGGAGCCGGTGATCTAACTCAGGATTCTCTTTTGGAAAAGTCTCCACATCCTTTTAAAGGGTTTTAACTGCTGTAAATTTGGAACTAAACCACATCAACTGCAAATGCACATATGGGAACACAGTTGATAAAAGCTTTTCTCCAATTTCACCATTTTTTTTCCCCATCCCTTCATTAAGAAAATTGCAGGAGGGGGTAGAGTGATAATGCTCAACTTGAAAAAGGAGCTGCCTTCTTTTTTAACCAGTGACCATTATAAACTATTTGAAATTAGGAAAACCAAACCAAAGATTAGACTTATTTCTATGGAATTATATTAAATGAAAAACAATACCAGGGAGACTAATATTCCGAGTCCCTTCTAAAACATAAATTTTAATCGTTTAGTTAAATTTCCATGGATCAGAGCATTTTAAAGTTACCTACAGAGAAATGTTTCAAGACCAAACCAAACAGTCCTGCTGTATTATGCACGGGAAAGGAAATGGGGAACTCCCTAATTTCAGTCTCAGCTCTTGGTTTTCGTAGCCTAAAATGCTTCATTTGAAGGCTTTTCAGATTGCTCTGACACGTAATTGACTTTGTCGGCCGTTGCCTTAGCATTAGTATCTGGACTAATGTTTCTGCTTCATGAGCTGCAGAGCATTAGTTCTGCCTCTTTCCCGAGCTGCTGAGGCCAGATTAAAACATTTCGGTTTGAACTTTTGCTGGAGTTCATTATTGTATACCCAAACGTTCACTTAATCATCTTCATTCCCCCAGTGCCCTGCTATGGTTTTCTCCAGGCTTTAACTGCACCACTGCCATAAAAGTGCCGCCCTAGGAAGGCCCTCAGGCTGCTCTGCACCCCGAAGCACAACCCAAAGCACTGCAACCATCTCAGCCGCCGTGTGTAACCTATTCGGCAGCACCTGCTATGCTCACGCCTTGTATTTTCACCACTCTTTACTCCTGTCCTGCCTACATACGAGTTAAATGCTCTGCGTCACGTAGCCAGGCAGCTGAGGAATACTACCTCTCGTTTCTTGCCCTACACTCTCTGCAGAAGGGTCTGAATTTCTCTTTAGCAGTGCCGTCTTGACTCCTATTCAGCTTTAATACCCAGTGGATGGAAGAGATTTGTGCAGCCGTGTAAATCAGTACATGCGACCGTTCATTCGGCAGGGGACTGCGGTCACACCTGGCTCTCGATGCAGAAAGAGCAGTGGCTGTGAGGGCTCTTCTGGGGACGTGCTGCAATCTCCTGCTTCTGTTGTGTGCTCCAGCACTCGAGCTTTCCTTTTTAAAGGCAATACTTTGCATGACTTTATTAAACTCGATTCCTGTCCTCCAAAGTGCTCACTTGGACCTGCTTGTGGATTTTAGATGTGGCATACACATTAAAACACTCCACGTTACCAGGTCCCAAACTGGATTTTTGCAGGATCCTACTCGATGTGTGCCGCCTGCTCGACAGCTATCAAAAATACCCCAATTTCCCAGGTTGTTGTGTGCTAGCATTATGGTAACCAGACTCACAATGTGCCTACACCCTTTCCTTTTGGAAAGAGAAGCTGTGCTGGGGCCACCAGCAGCGAATGGGTGCCACGTCTGTGTTAGCTCACCCAGTGCACCAGGCCGTGCTGTGGGGTGGACAGGTCCATGCCACCTCACAGCCTCTTATAAAACATCTGACAAAGGAATTCATGTGGGTTTGCACTGACCCGTGTGGGCGTGTAATCCAAGTCAGAGCCCGACACGCAAAGACCTGCAAAGACCACGTGTATTCCCTGCATCATCGATGAAGCGGCTTTTATTCTTCCCAAATTTATCCCACAGCTCTGAGCGGTCCATGACTCTGCTTACACTGAACAACCCCCAGGAGTCCTCTGCCTCCCAGGAGTATCAGAGCCTGGTGCCCCTCAGGGGACATCACTCAGCTCCTCCCCGTGCTGAAGCCTTACGACAAGGTCTGTAGATACCTACCACAACTGCCTGCTTTTCTCAGCTGGGCATTTTAGCCCATGCTGCCCCTCCACTAGATCAGGGCACCTTTGGGGGTTCGTGCAACGCAAGAGGCATCTACACCAGTACATTCATGAAGACCACAACTGCAAGAAATGGACTGCCCCTGCTGCCTTGTTCATTTGCCACGGAGCAGAGGAAATGGAGCTGCAGGGGCTCGGTGCAGTCATGATTCCTTTCCTTACACCTTTGTGAAATTAAGACACGCAAAGGAAAATGGAGAGGACAAAGGGCCCAGATGCCTCCTCCCCCAACACCTGCCAGGAGAGCCACCTGCAGCAAGGAGCAAGGTGCTTGCTGTTTCGTTTCACCATACTGCTTGCACTTCCCACACTCTTCTGGGAGCCCCAAGGTGGAATTACACACTTGCAATGTTGTACTTTGATATTTGCTTACTGGGAAAACCAAACATCTAGATGAGGAGCGTAACTATCTGCACATAATTTAGGAAATACCAATCTGCTTTGCTAAAAATAAATAAATAAAATGAAATAAAAACTATGTTTCATAGAAAATAGCCTAAAATACCCCCTGGGAGCTAACACTGGGAAGAAATCTTTTTTTTTTTTTCCTGCCAGTTTCCTGCCAGTTGCAGGGTAGCAATGGCAGATTGCAAACTGATGCAAATTGAAAAGATGCAAACATCAGTCCTCTGGAATGTTATTTCTTCCAGGAAAACATGCTCAGCTATGGTCTTCTGGGTGACTAAAATGGTTGGAGATGGTTAAGGCTGTCCTCAAACCTCGATATTTTGAGAAATTAGGTGTGGAAGCTTGAGTCATGAGAGGCTTTCTTGTGAAATGGCTGGCAGAAGGAGCATGCCGGAGAACCTCCCGTTTGGCGATTCTGTGAGAGCACGACCTGTCATTGCAATTTGGATTATCCACTGACTCCTCGTATCACCACAACAAGTCCCCTCTCCTCTGGCATGCTGCTAATCTTTGCCTACGCGCATGTGCGCCTACGGAGGGGGAAACAGGTTTAATGACACACACTAAGGAAGAAGTAAAGGTCACAGTGTGCGGGTACACGGTGCTGTGTAGTGCGATAGAAGCAGAAGAGCAACACACGGTGCAGATCTGTGCTTTACCCCCTTTCTCCTCTGCTGACCCCACTTCTTGGCTCTGTGAGAGCCGGTGGAAGTTCTGCTGTGGCACTCCACGGGGCCAAGGAGCTAACTAACCTCCTGCTGTGGTGAAACATCTCTGTAGAGGGATAAACTGCTGGTTTATCCCTGTTGGTGTATTTTGGCTGCCCTGAAGACACTGGCATAACCAGAGGACAACACCTCTGTGGCACAACTATTTCTTCCCCGCACAAACGCCGGCATTGCCACAGGTAAGCCCACCACACTAAACCGTGACAGCAGCAGAGTAAGCGCTTGGTGTCTGAAAAAGTTACGTGGAAAGCATCCACACTGAGCAGATTTTGGTGACATCCAAGCACTTCAAACCACAACCCAACCCCGCAATGCCCGGAGGCGCCTCCTGGTCCTTCGGTCGGCTGCAGCCCCCGGGCTCTGCGACCACCCCCGGGACCCCTCCTCAGCCCCGGGAACCCCTCCTCAGCCCCCGGGGGGACCAGGCACGGAGCTGCTGCCGTCTCTGACAGCCCTGCCTCCCCCCCCCCACCAGCCCAGCGCCCACAGACGGCCTCCCCTCGCCGCTTCACCTCTTCATTTTGTCATTTCTACCCCCAAAACGCAGCAGCCCCCCGGTGGTGGTGGTTGGGGGGGGCTGCGAGGGGCGGCTCTCACCTGCCCGGCGCGCAGCGCCAGCTGCACCGCCAGCTCCAGGCACTCCTTCCAGGGGTCCCCGCCGCCTCCTCCTCCTCCTCCTCCTCCTCCCGCAGCCCCTTCCTCCTCCTCCTCCTCCCCGCACGGCTTCATAGCGGCGGCGGCGGCGCCGGCTCCGCCGAGGAGCGGCGCGGAGGAGGAGGCAGGGAGGGAAGGGAGGAGGACGAGGAGGAGGGCGGCTGCTGTCACTCGCAGCCCCAGCACCGCCCCAGCCGAGGGAGCGGCGGCTGCCGGGGGAAGGCGGGCTGAGGCAGCTGGCCCCTCATTTGAGGTGAGCCCCAGGAGGGCGGAGAGGGGCTGGGGGTGCTCCATGGGGCGGCATGTGGGGGCTGCCCGGCTCCCCCCCCCCCCCACCGCCATCACCGTCCCCGTCCCGCCCCGCCTGACATGGCCGCCGCCGGGCCTGCAGCGGCGCCGCGCTGCGTTGGGAGCCCCGAGCCCAGCCGAGTCCCCCGGCCCGGTTTTGCTGCCCTAGGCGAAATGGGCGGCGTTTTGCTGCCATCGGCAGCTCTCTGGGTCGCCTGCACCGGCTGGGGGTTGTGTGAGGGAGACAGGGCGCGATCCTTATCGGGGAGGGGGGAGGAGAGGGGGGGGAACCCGCCTGGGGGCAGGGGGCGACGCGGGGCCGGTGCTGAGGGGAGAGGGAGCCGGCGTGAGGGGAGAAGTGGCACCAGGAAGGGCAAGGGGGCAAAAAATAAATGCCCAAGCCTCCATGGATTGTGGTGCAGGAATTCAACTTCATTCTTTCGATTTCTAAGCTGCACTGTGGCAGTGGGTGCCGCAAAGAGAGCAACCCTGTCAGTCTACTTAGCAAAACGCCTTGTAGCCCCCTTTCCTAAAAAACAAACCAGCAATGAACTCTTAGAAGGTAAATTTACTAATACCCTAAATTTAAAAAATCACTTAAGGTGTGAAATTATGTTTTTTTTGCTTGAAGGAATCATTACCAAACATCTGTCGATCCTTTTGCTTATTGTGCTGTTTCCTCAGACCTTGTATCCTTATATAAGATCAGTTCGCTAAGTGCTATAGCCCTATAAGCATCGTATAATTTGGGATAGAATCACTCTGGATTCTTCCCTAGGCTCAGCTACCTACAGGTTTTAGAAATTTGGGCCTTTTATTGGTGCTGTGCTCAGCACAGCTTGAAGTGACTTCAGGGCCTTGCCAAGAGAGCTTCTGTGCTGGGGCACTAACAAACTGGTGAGATGTAGTGAAAACAGCCTTAACTTGGTAAAAAAGAAAACCTGTAGCTACCTATGGCTTTGCAATCTAAGAAGCATCTCAGACCGTGGTAGAGCGTCTGTGTTTTCTCACTTTTTCCATTAAAAAGCAACTTTTAGTTACTGTTTTGGCCAATGGTAAAACAGCGTGTACCTTCTGCAGAAACTGAGTGGATGTTACTGTGATGCAGAGCAGATGGCTTCCTCTCTCGTGTCTCAGACCTGCTGCAACATTTGGAGTTTGTTGTGGTTAGGCTGCTATCTGAAACATCTCTTTAACTTGTGCTTTACAAACAGGGCAGTGTGAATGACAGTACAGTAGGTGGGATGCAGAAATACCCTCACTAGAGATGGTTGTAGGAAGTCAGTGGCACGGTGAGATACTGTTGCAAAGAGGGGAAAGTGCTCCTCTCAATATTTTTCCAAGCAGGAGGAAGTTCTCTGTAAGTAATGTGTGAGTGGCACTTGGAAAATGAGCGACTCCGTCTGGCTCTGTAAAACTTCCCCAACTTTCTTTTCCCTCTGGTGGTAGAATATTAGTAAAAGGGTCACAGAAGACTGAATTTCAAAGGCTAAAATAACAACTGAATGAACCCTCGGATTTTACAAATTCATTCCAGTTGTGGTAAAAGATTGGAAAATGAAACTAAAAAGCCAAGAAGAGTACTTTGAAAAATACTGACTGCAGCTATTATTTTAAGACCCTTCAAAGTCCTTTGCAAAAAATATTGTTGCCTGTAAGTCTTATGAAGAGATGGCAATACTTCTCTTCATCCTTCTATTCAGTGGTGACTGCTTTCTGACTACTGTTCTGAAGTTTTTTCAAACCTTCCTTCGTCTAGACCTGCAGGGCAGCGTGAGCTGCCAGGTGCTGCTGAACATCCGTGTGGTTCAGGGTAAGCTGCAGTTGCTCTCTGCCTGCTGGATCAGGCTCGTGGCTCACCTTTCGTAGCTGCCAAGCTCTTTCATAACCTCTGATCTTTCATAACCCTAAGTGCTAGCCAGTTCCCCTCACATGCCTTTCATAATCTACACACACACACACGCCACACGTTTCATCTCCTCGACTTGCTGTAGACTCATCCTAGATGAACTAGAAATACTGGTGCTTCGTCGGTCTGAATTCTTCCCAGCCTTGACCTGGTTCTTGCAGAGGTCGGATTTCCTTCCCCGAGACCCAGGACGCTCAACAGAGGGGAAAACCTGTTACAAAACGGAGAGCAGAGCGTAAACCTGCATTTCCTTTTCTCACAGGCTGTGAAGCCCTTATTGACTTGCATGCTACCTAGCGGGTGTACTGTGTGGTATTCTCTTTCATTTCCATTTCTACACTGTCACACGGTATTTCTCGGTGGGGCCGCTGTCTGTGCCACCCGGAGATCCAGCCTGTCCCACAGCCAGCCTGGTCTGCACTACCAAAAGCAGGGTCACTCGGAAGGGAAGCTGCTGCAGCTGAAATTGGTTTAATTACGCCTCAGCCGACAGTTCCCCATTCTCTTCTTTGACAGTAATTGCACGCTGTGGTGATGCAATCACATTTGTTGGAGTTTTTACAGAAAGGGAGAGTGACCTCCTCTAGCTCGCCAGCCAGTGCTGTGGAAGCCACAGATGTCTTCATACACACGCAGCTGTCACTTTGCGGGCCTGATGGATGATCTCTTAATAGGAAATTAAACGGGAGAGCAAGTGACTAACAGCTTTAATAAAAACAGAGAGGGGAGGGGGGGGAAAAGGGAAGTAATCTTTTGGAATTATTAGCCTGATGGTGTGAAAGAGCATTTCCTCAGCATGACAGCCAGGGGCTTGCTGCACTGTTATTAAAGCACTTCAGTGTGATTCCGTACAGATGGTCTTTTTACACAGCATAGGATTATATCGGATTAGTCACATAAAATTGTTGTTTACTGTTTTCAGCCCTTTTCCCTGGAGCTTCTCTCAGTATCCCATGAAGAATGAAGTTTGAGGCTGAGGGCCTGCCTGTAAGAGGCAACCTGATGATGAGAAACCTCTTGTTTGTGCAGAGTGCTACGGTACTGTAGTTTTGTGTAATGGCTGTGTTGCAGTGAACAGATTTGATAACTGATAAAGAGGTTACTTGGCCCAGCTTTTTGTTTCGTCCTGGGAATACAAGAAGGGAATGTAAACTGTAAGGAGATGTTCTCGTTTCTTGCTGGATTCCCCTGAAGAACTGTGCAGATGCCAGTTCTGCTCCATCAGAAACAATTAGGAGTTTCCGACGTTGGCACCGTTTCTTGTAATGCTCATTAGTGACTCTGGTCCGCTCATTAGTGGCTCTGGTCTGCACTGTTCTCTGTGGTGTGTTAGTTGTTTCCTGTGTTTCTTTTCTGTCATTCAGAGTCACATCCTGACGGCCTTTCTTCTCTACATGCAGGAGGCCCCAAGATCACTGCTCGGGTAGTGCACATTCTCCCTCCTGCCACAAATTAACAAAAATTCTCCAGCAGAACGTGGCCTTCAAATCTGTTCTGAGAGCTCGTTAGTGTGGAAATCAAGATTTTGGCTTCAAGATCTGACAGATAATGGTGAAAGGGCCTCCTTCGGTGTTTTCAAGCTGGTTCAGTCACTCCGGGAAATTTTCCCTTCCAGGAAGGACGGCTGAGATAGCTTTCCTGGGGTGTGATTGCCTTTGATTCTCCACTGAAAGGTGGTTTTCCTCTCCAGAGGGAGATCTGGGGACAAGGTAATACAGTCCTGAGCTGTTACTGTTTTTCCTAGATATCTCTGAATGTAGAATAAGGTGTGGGTCTTTTTTCCTGGCCTCGAGGGGAGAAGTGGCAGACAGTCTCTGCCTTAGTCTCTGTAGCCTAGTTTTGTGTAAAAAGTGTTACCTTCGTTTGGCTTTTTCAACTTAAAGGCTAAATTGATGTCCTCTTATTCTTATGTATTATGAGGAAAGATTCATTGTTTCTAATTCTGCAAATCCAACCATGTTTTTGTGCTTTTTTCTCTTGATGTGTGGGACATACTGCTCAACTTTTGAACGGAATTCTGAACTTCGTATTATTTAGCTCTCAATTTTATATTAATCTCCCATCTTGTGGTTGTGCCGTGGCTCAGGAAAGCCAGACTGCTTCTTCTCCCTATTTGAGGGAAGGTTCCTGAATGAAAGCTGGGTTATTGCTTTCAGATCCAAGCTTAAGACAAGATGAGGGTCTTTCCTACCCCCACGTTGGCCCATCGGTTTGAGGTTGTGCCATGATGTTTCAGTCTGTCAGATTGGCAGTGGATTAGGCCAAGGAGCCTAATGGGGAGTGGTGGTTTTACCCCGCTGGGCAGCTGCTCTCTCACTCCCCCTCCTC